GTAATATATATATATATATATATAAAACTACAAAGATATGGGTTTAATAAAATATTTACTCTATGCGTATCACTGATTATATTGTACGCACGAGAATAATATAAAAGTATTTATCTTATTATCTCACATTCTATCTGTAACTGTTAAATATAAATTAATTAAAGAAAACAAAGTAGGATTATAGAAAAACTATTGATAAATCACTCAAGTATGCTGCGATAATGCAAAGTAAGAGAAGGGTAAAGTCTAAAGAGCGTCTCGAGTCTTAAATAAAACAGGTGTGAATGACTTTTAATCGGTCATTATTGGTGATTATATAAAGTAACACCATAATATAAATCATATAATACTAACTATCAAAATGATATCTTTCCCCGTCGATCGAGATTAACTCTTTCATAATATTATTAATATTGTATTAACTATCAATATGATTGAGTAAATCAATAAGTCATGTAAATAAAACGATAACATACGCATTTTTTTAAAAGTAAGTAAAAAGTTATAAAATACAATACTAATAATACTTAATTAAATATTTATGTGTTCAATACTAATAACAAACAATGTTATAAATTTTTACTTAAGACTACTTAATTTGTTCTTATATTTTTGTTTCTATTCTTATCTATAATAGTGTGGAAAATTTATGTTGATTTCACAGTAAATAAAATTCTGTTCTTATCTATATCAACAACTTATGATTATCGCATTCTTCAAATATATAATACTAATACACGATTTGTAAAAATATTCTGAAAAATAAGAAATCTCTGCGTCATATATTATCAATAAACTGAATAAACCATACACTGTAAACGTGAAATTTTTCATTTTAATCCTGTTGACGCACACTTGTGATAAAATTACGAATCAGAGTAAAGTCCAGTATGAACCAGTATTACTTAATGGCATTACAGGTACATACAACTACCACTTATAATCTCTTAAAGTTATTGACAATTATCGCAGCGAATAATATACACGGTATAAAAGAATTTCTCTTAGTATTCTTTAACGCGCAATTATTTTCCTATTCTTTCTTTTACATTTAATTATCTTTTAATTGTTTTCCCAGACTTGATGAAAATTCGTTGCTCATGAAAGAAAAAGACAAAGGAGCAACGTTCGCGTCGAGAGTTTCCCTGTTTCTTGCTGGTTGCCCTTGTCGGAACAACGATCGATAAAGCTGACCCTCTACCTCCCTACCGTGCACTCTGAGTATTTTGACACTCGCATAAGCTTGAGTGTTCCTAAATTCACACCCTTGCTTAACATATCGAGAAATTTACTGACTATAATTCAAGATTAATATACCATCT